GTTGGTGTACACATGTTGTCTCTACTTCGCATTCTTAATTTTCCATAATTAAAGTAACATACTTAAGTTTAAGTTTGTTGTAAACAATCCTGCTGTTGCAGTCTGCTGTAGCTAATGCTAACAACAAGCTAATGCTAACACAAGCAAACTAATACTAAATAAGCCAGAAAGTAAAAAGATCCACACTGTTGTACAACAAATATTATTATTTACAAGTCCAGTAGCAACAAAGCCAGGTCACCATCAGTCCGTGATTTTGTAGCCTACTTTAGCTTTCTCAAACTAGTGTAGGCCACGCCGATGTTCAACCTGGTTTTGGCTTCTTAAGCTTCTTCTTCTTGGGCTTTTATTGACAGTTGGTGAACTGAAAAAGCTATCTGCTAGCTTTTATATTAGCTATGGCACAGTAAACAGCTATTGCTGTAAAGCCGGTAGACCTCCCACTAATGTTCCTACCTGAATCACAAAACTGGTACATCCTGTTTCTGGTCAGCAAAGGGCAGCAGAATGCAGTTTCAATAGAAACTGCTTAAGTTTCTGGCTCAAGAACCACCGAAACCACTTTGAAAGCAATACCTTTAAGTTATCAAACTTTTTTAGTGTTGCTTTTAAAAGGCTTGAATTTGGGTTACCCTGATCCTTAAAGTAACAATGTGTAATTTTTAATGCTATTCTCTGGAAATATTCATCAAAATGTTGTTGACAATGAATTACATGACGCCCAGTTGTTGAAAGTATTGGCGGCTTCGTAACATATAACCATAAAAATCGGGCCTAAAATACATGGGAGCAGGTCTAAATCTCTGGGCGACACCATATTGTACACAATGTTTCCTTCTATGGGAGCCCTTGAGAAAAAAACACATTTATTGATTTGTAACACACGGTTACAAACATTCATCATTCATGAGCATGTTTGTTTTACAAATGTACCTCTTCACTCGTTGCCGGTGATGAAAGGGAGTCTGATGTTGTTTTGCTAGAGGTTGCGCTCCCAGGGATTATTGACCCTAATGGCCATCCGTTGGTCAGGTCTTACTCGAACACAAAATACTGCTTGCTTGCAATGATTGACATATGTAGTTGTCACATTGATGTGTGTGTGAAATTTGTTCTATGCATTTGATCCATCCCCTCTGGGCGTGGTGAGCTGCAGGCACAGCCGTGCCCGGGAGGCATTTGGTGTTTTAACTCCCCAATCAAACTCCTTAATGCTGAGTGTTAAGAAGGCATTGGGTCCCATTGTTTCAAAGTCTTTGGGATGACCCGATCGTGGATCTGAACCCACAATCACCCAGTGTCAGGGTGGACACTCATACCAGAGGCCACTGAGCTTAAAAATGTGTTTCCCCACTAAGATCCATGTTTAAAAGGACTTTACAGAGTTTTGAATTTGTATGCTCGCGATTGCCCCCTCAGGCCAAAAGCGTAACGGCAGCTTCAATAGTAGGCTCGTGCACGAGGCGCGCATGCTGTACGTGCACACTCCTTAACGAAAATAACAGCTGAGACAGTCAGCTCTGTGTGTGTGTGTGGCCCGGAGGACATAGGACAGGAGAACGCGCAGCTAATGAATTAAATAATTTGGTTCTGTAACTTTCTCTTCAGCACAGCCGACAAAGGTTTAAGATGGGTCAGTCCTCCTGCATGCTCTTGAAAAATTGTTCCAAAATGAAAGTTTGTACCCACATCTTTTTTTATCTGTGAATCCAATGCCGTTCGGCGAGTCTCAAATAAAAATTTGGGCATCTTACTGTAAAAATATATACCATTAATGTAAAAAAGAAACTCTAAATAAACTATGTTCACTTCCAGAATCAAACCCGGTTCTTCTGCACGAAAGTCCGACATCCTGCCAGGCGAGCTAACGCACCAGTGCTGTCACTTGTATCTGTACCATTTAAGAACGGTTTGGAGGGCGATGCCTGAGCGTGAACGCGCATGAAGCAGCCTGCTCGACCCGAGCAGCTCTTTTTCTGTGATTTTACAGAAAAATAGGCAATCACAACAAAAATGCCAGGGCTCATTTTACAGGACCAGGGCATTGCAGGAGAATGTATGAAGAAGAAAGTTATTATTTCTATATACGTTTTGGCTGTCAAACTTCCACAACGTCCCTTTAAGTACAACTGTTCACTGGTCATTCATATTAATGATTAATGGTTTAATATTTTAGCCATTTTTTGAAGCCTTTGTCAAATAACAAACTCTATTTTTGTGACTTAGTCTGTTGCGGTTTGACTGTTTACACTGAAGGCATTTTATATACAGAGACTTTCTGCTCAGCGTCATCCTTCATGATGATGTCATAGGAGGTTATTATTATTTCCATTTTTGTAGCGTCACACAGATGTTACATTTCCATGAACCCCATCAACAAAATTGCTGAAGCCATTTTTTGTGGCCGCAAAAAACGATGCAACATTACAGCAGCAATGAGGAGTCCATAGAAGAAGTAAAGGAGCAGAGCTTATAAAAAAGCTGCTTCTTGTGTCCAACATACTGCATACTGCAGTGGTGATGCCAAAATGTGCTCAGCTCCTAAAATTTAATTTCAGTCAAAGTGTCTGGACAAGGCGCTGGACTCCCAAACTAATTTACTGTCAGCGTGTGTCTGTTACATTCAGAGTCCCCTGCTGGCCTTCCTCTCTAACAGAAATCCCTCTAACGTCTTTCACATTGACCCAGTGGCCCGTTTCAAAAAAGCTTTTGGTATTTATTTGTTTTAACATAAGAAGGTTGCTTCCAATAGTCAAAGAATATGAAAGTTTCTCTTTCTTCAGGAAATATTGGAATATAAAGCCATCACTCACATCAGTCTTGTTTTCACTAATTGTAGTTAACAAGCGGTAACAATAAATTCATACTGTTTTCATCACATCCTCTATCTGCATGACAAGATTTGATTAACATTGATTGATGGACAAGAACGCCTGAACTGCAGCAGCGAAGATTCATTCCTGTTATAAAGACACAAAACAGCAACAGTGTGCACTTTCTATAATCCTGCACCAAGGAAGCAAAAGCGCATGATTTATTTAAAATGACGAAAGTAAGAAAACTTAAGTTTCAGAAATAAAATAACAATTTGTGACTTTAAATGATGCAGAACCTTTGTGAGAAACATATTTTACTCACAAACTGTTACTTTGTGTAACAGCTAATGGAGGTCATCGTGTTTCTGTCACCATTAAACATTAGTCATGTGCTGAAACGAAAGAGAAATTTGAAACCGTTACAAAGAAAAATATGAGCTACAGTTGTATTGAGAGTGTGTTTAGCCCAGCTAACTGGTGGGTCTCTAATGCAGATATCCATAGCACCTAGTTCTCATTCAAAATCTCGTTTTTCATTTTAACTAAGACGTTTTTTGCATGAATGATAAAAATGATCAATTTTAACACAACTTTAATTTCTATGAAATATTGGATGGTCTGACCACCAATCTATAAACCAGTGACATCATGACATCATAACTTTCCTAAATAAACAGAGCTGCAGGAACAATAGCTGTGTTTTCATTAGCAGAACTTCAGGGTAAATTCTAGGACGGGGAAACTGACCGGGAGATATGATGTCGCAGTCCTCTCAGCTGTTGTGTCTCCATCCAAAATATGTTGTTTCAGAACTTTGCACAGACATCAGTATATTGGGACTGCTTTGGCAGTGAGCGATGTCACTGATCAGCACCAGTAGGCATCCACAGTAACATTAAAAACATTAAAATCTTTTATTCTGTCATAAGTATGTCATAATTTCATCCATTCAGAGGATGAGAGCCGCTGTGTGATGTAAAATGTGGTGTTCAATGACCAGAAGAAGATCCATTTTTTACAGTGATCTATGAGACAACAAATCCCCGTTAATTAAATTGTTGTGGGGAGTTTCCCAGTGTTTTCCGGTGTTTGGAGGTAGATGGTTATTTTATTTTGCTTCTATTTTGCTTTGCCAGCAACTCTTCTAATTTTACTAACTAATCTGGACAACATCTGCTGATGTCATTACTACGGTGGCCCTGAAGTGCAAATCAGACCAACAAATCACTAAACACAACTACAAATTGAGAAGCACACAAACAAATAAGAATCACACTAATTAAGAATAACATGAAAAGAATAAGAAAAACAAAAAAATATTAAGAATAACACATACAAATGAAGAAAAACACAAACAAATTAAGAAAAACACAAACAAATTAAGAAAAGCACAAAAAAAAAAGAAAAACACAAACAAATTAAGACAAACACAAATAAATTAAGAAACCGGGAAGGGTAGGTACCAGTCAGCAACAGGAAACATCACTGATTGGTCGACTGCGCTGTTTGTCTTGTGACCCGGAAGTTACTCTATTTGTAGCGCATTTTCCAAACATGAACATTAGCGGTGACCACATAGTTGCTGCCATGATTAGACTTGAGCATATCCAGTATCACCTCGTATGTATGTCCTGAATCAAAATATTCTTGAATAGCGGCAGCTATGTGGTCACCGCTAATGTTCATGTTTGGAAAATGCGCTACAAATAGAGTAACTTCCGGGTCACAAGACAAACAGCGCAGTCGACCAATCAGTGATGTTTCCTGTTGCTGACTGGTACCTACCCTTACCGGTTTCTTAATTTCTTTGTGTTTGTCTTAATTTCTGTTTGTTTATCCTAATTAGTTTGTGTTATGCTTAATTTGTTTGTGTTTTTCTTTTTTTCTTGTGTGTTTTTCTTAATTTGTTTGTGTTTTTTTTTCTTGTGTGTTTTTCTTAATTTGTTTGTGTTTTTTTTCTTGTGTGTTTTTCTCAGTTTGTGTTTTAATAATTTCCTTGTGTTATTCTTCATTTGTTTGTGTGATTCTTATTTGTATGTGTGTTCAGTGATTTGTTGGTGTGATTTGCACTTAAGGGCCATCGTACATTCCCTACAGAGTTACAGCCAGTCAGCATGAGTTAACCAAAAGTTCCGCTCAGCTGCTCTGCTGGGCCTTTCTGAGTACCTACCCCTGATCAGGTAC